TGCAATAACAGCGTCGTTTATATCCTTCCTACTCTGGTTCTCGTCCCGTATTAGTCTCACAATCGCAGCAATGAACTGTGGGCAGGTCAGCTTGTGTATGAGAGAATTCATAGCTTCAACTGACAAAGTTGACACCTCATTCCTCGAGGAGAGTGTTTCTTTAATCAAACTGGATAGCATTTTGGGTCGTAATGCAGTTGGCAATTTCATCACTAGCTCTTTGTGGTTCGTCATGGCAGAGCTACAAGTCACTTTCATGGACTTCAGGTCAAGCACAAGATGGTCAAAATTCTGCAGACGATCGTGGAAGGATGGGGAGGCATCAAAGAACACCAAGGACGAAGACTGTCGTAATGTCACTGGTATAACTCCCTCCGCCTGAACTAAGGACGTTCCCCTTAAGGGGATTCCTGGAAGGTAAAGCTGTGGAACGCTCGACAACTCTCCTGCGCTTTCCTCAAGCAGTTGAAAAAAACCTTTCACTGCTTTAACGCATGCCTTCATCTCATTCGGATGTAGTTTGTCGGTGTTTGATTTCAGGTACAGCATTTGTAACACCATAGCGTAGTGGGCAATCGAGACATACTTGGAACAGCCAAGAGCATGAAATAAAGCGTGAAACTTGCCAAACTCTCGAGGTAGACTGTATAGAAAGGGCTTGATTTCGAGATGTTCATACAACTCGAGCACTACCTGCTGTGGAAGAATAAATCTCTTCCCTTGCTCGACCAAAACGCATGGGGTTTTCACCAGAAGGCTTCTCACGTCGTTCCCTGTGTTCAGCTTTGTCTGCAAGAACTCGTAAATGCGTTCCATTACTGCCTTTAAAGTCGTTCGTTGCTCAAGTGAGGAAATATTAGCGTCATCCTTGTTTTCTTGAGAGTGACAAACGGCTTGACAATGACGAACAACAAGTTTGAGAGATGGCTCTGCAACAATTTGAAGTTGAGTAATAAAAGTCTTGCAGTATTTATCAGTGCTCATTTTGGGGGGACAGCTAAGTTCACGGCGACAGGTCACTGGATCTGCTCAACGTGGAAGTAAATGGGGCTGTGTCCAAACAATTTCAGCATACTCCGATGGAACTGCCCCTTTGAATGCACAGAATGGAATCTGGTCATCCCTCATTCCCTGATATGGCGGGCAAAGTTCTCGGAGACCTTTTCTTGCCCGCTCGCTGCTTACAAAAGTTATGTCGGATATGGCAGGTAACAGACCTTCAGCCACTACATTGTGTCGGTGGAGAAGATGTTTTACTAGAACTAGTGACTTCTCAAATGTCCTCTTTGTTTGCGCTGTAGTGGCTTCGTGTGCAACCTCTCTTGCAAATTTCTTGAAGTGATCATGGGAGACCTGATGAATTAAACCTATTGTCCTTAAAACCGTTAACCATTCTGGCGAATTAAGTGGTTTCAAAGGGAAATTGGTTGGCGGGAGTATTATGCGGAAAACGTTAATGCCAGGGTCGTAGAATGAGGATGCAGTTTGAAGCGTTCCATTTATGGAGGGGATAAATGGAGTTGCTTTCAAACAGCTCCTAAGCCTTTGTTTTTCCATGTCATCCTCCGCTAAAAATTCTGAAAGAAGGTATTTACGAATATACTCCAAGTGTACTAGCCTCCCTTCTTGGCTGAAGATCTCAAACGCTGGCAGAATGTAAGCGCAGTACACGTCTACGGCAGAGACGCACTCGAGATCCAGGAATTTGAACAAATTTGAGAGAACTGGCCAGGACTCAGTGAAGACTAACTTTAGGTGACGCTCTAAGTTTTCAATTTCCTTTCTCGGTATCCCAACTGGAAGGACACAAACACGGTGATCACTATCAAGTGGTACAAAGCCACCATGCGTCGCTAGGAAGAAAGGAAGCCTTTTCAGTTTGCTTTTGTCTGCCTCATGAAGGCGGGCCACACTCCTACTGAAGTACTCCAAAATTGCTTTACAGTCCTTGGCGTCCAGTCTTTTAGGTGACTGAGGGTCTCTCTCAATCTTATGGTGGAGGGCAGTAAGCAGAGAGGAAGGAACCTTCAGGG